ACTTCGGGAAATGTCATTTCTTTGGCTAAGATGGAGTCTCAGAGAAGAGCAAAAAGGTGTTGAAATAAAGTCCTGTTATTGCCCTCTGGTGACCTTGAGTGGCATTACAACTGCTCAAGAATTTATCAGAATCCAGCCCTGAGTCTAGACATTCATCTTGGGAGATCCAGAGAAAGAGTTCAGAATTGATAAAATGTGCAGCTTCTGACATCAAAGGTGCTTCCAGATGCATCACTTATGGGGAGGGGGTTCCAGAAAATGTTATCTTTCATCTGTAATTGTCCAGAAAAGTGCCATACTTTGATTATCATAATGACAGGAAGCCCAACAATTTTCCCCCTTGTATAATTCTTTTCCCAGACCTTCTCAACCAGTTCTGTACATTTTTACCCACAGTGGGATGAAAACTGGAAATATCTGTGTATGATATGTAATTATGATATTTTCAAACGTTTTGGAGGATATGTATACACACACACACACAAAGTGCACTCTTTAAAGTGCCAGTTTGGCACTTGGCAACTGTTTCAGAATATTCTAGCATTAATTAATATACTAGTTAAGCCAAGTTGTATATAAATATCTTAAATGTAAGTGTGATGAATCAGTGAACATATTAATATGTTTTCCTTGAGGTATACTCAGACATGTTATTCAAGTCTTGAGGGATGATGAAATTGAAACTGAGCTCAAATTATACCTTTGTGAGCTATGTTAATCTATATCTCCTGCTTTAAATATGCAGTTCAATTATCAATAACTCCCTCAATCAATAGAATTCTGCCTGTGTTTCTGTAGTTCAGGGCTACAATTATTAATAATTTGGGATGTTTTATTATGTTCTTTTAAATTGAGTTCTATGTACTAGCAAACAGAATGTTTTTTTTTAAAAAAAATGGTATATGGATTACACATACATTTTTATTGGATTTTAACCCTGAAATTACTTCTAGTAAATGTCAAAGGGTAATCCTTTGATTTTAAGATGAGCAGCCAATGGTTTATTGAATACTATGGTCTCCTTCTCTGCTGAAAAAGGGGATGTCTTCTACTGGTGTAGGGATGAAAGTGTTGAGCTAGGACCAGGGAAACCCTGTACTAGTCCACCCTCATCCATGGAATCTCACTGGGTGGCTCTGGGTCTCTCTCAGTCCACCGGGTTGTCTGGAGGGAAAATGGAGTGGGGAATACTATGAATACTACTGGAGGAAAGGGAGGATATCAATTAAACAAACAAATAAATATTAGGTAAATTGGATATCAATCAATCAATTTTATTTAGGTCATAGACCAGCTTATGCACCTGGATAGATTTTGCCTAATCTGTGATAGGCAATAGCTTCCTGACATACAGAAACTAGATGTAATAATAAAAATTGATTTGATCTGATCTGATCACAGTGTGTCTGTGGGACACACTTGTAGACTGAAGCCAGGAGTAGCAGTAACTATATTCTTGGGTTCAAGTGCAGGGAGAAGCAGCCAGCTAAACCAGTAGATGAGATGATGCCACAGTTATAAGGGGGAGCATAGTGGAATTCTGTTTTCATATTTCTTCAAGTTGGAAGCCTATAGAAAGTGCACATATGCATTTTTGTACACATCATCTGAATTATTTAGAAAATTCTGCATGCTCATTAAGTATAGCTGCATCCCTAAAAGGAAAAGGAGACCTTTGCAGATTTGAAGAGGATACAGTTTTGAAGGCCAAATAATTGCCTTCCAAGAAAAAAGAATTACATAGAAATCTGCAGTCAACAAACTGATCTACAGAATAAGATGAACTCTGAGTTCTGTTTGCCCATGACTTAATGTTGGGGCTTCTTTTTTCTTCTTCCAGGCAGTTCAGTGATTGCACAGCCCATGTTTGTTTTCAAGAAGGAACAACCGTACAAAGTAAGAACTGAAACTCCTCCCATTCTTCTGGCATTTGTTCAAGACAACTTACTCAGCATGTGTGGATCCACATAGTGGGGGAAGTGGGATTGCAGCAGCAGGTCTGTGCATGTTTCGTTGAAAGTCTGCATAAAAACAGTGCCTTCAGAGATAGAAATACCAACTGACACAGACCCTTTATGTCTCAGTGAGTCATCTGCACACATATAAACTGTTTATGGTAGGCTCTCTGTGTGATTGAGAAACCATGAATAAATGCAATCTCCTATGTATGTACATGCAATTTGTATGTGCACAGATTTTTTTTCCAGATGTTATTCTACATAAACACAAGGAAGGTATTAGCAGGTTTGATTTCTCTGTCTCCTTTAATTGTGTTCAGAATAATGTCTGAATGGAGCTACTGCTAGTTCATATGCCACACTAACTCAGGGATCCCATTCTGCAGCCAGAAGAAAGTTTTCGCTGAATTCTGGTATGAATGGAAAAAACAAATTCAAAATTATTCAGGATGTTATGTAAACTAGCAATAAGATTAATTAAGTTGGTAGTGTGTGTGGTGGACTGTTGTTCCTTTTGGCTCAAGGGGAGAAGGTATGATTACAGTTCCAAAAATGGTAGAGTTGTCTTCCCCAGGGAGGTACTCTCCAGATGTGTAGGAATTCAACTTCCAACCTAGCCTTTCTAACTGGGAATTAGGGCAACTGAAGCCCACATATCTAGGGAACAGAAGATTATCTGCATTTTGCTGTGAATTGGGGAATCTGGGATAATCTCCAGTGTACTTTCAAAAACTTTGAATGATATGGATATAAACATTCAACAGCCCCACTGTGCAAAGCCTCAACAACTGCTTGGCTCAAGGCTACCAAGTGTTGTGCAGAGACTATTAATTCATGGGAAGGCAGGAAGAGAAAGCTATGGATTTGAACCACTAAAAAAGGCACTTGCAACTTCATGCTGACAGCCGCCAATTAATTTCTTTCTTTGGCTTCCATCTTGTTTGCAATAGTTAAACTTACATAACCAAATTGTGTCTAGCCTAGGAAACTAGTTTAGCTGCCTTGGGTCAGGAAATCAGTGACAGGTCCTGACAGGAGTCTGACAGTTTGGATGTCCACTCTATCTTTTAAAAAAACTTGACATCCAGTACTTTTCAGTCAAGGACTAACCAATCCTTCTTTTTGTTCAGAGGTCTGCAGAGGATCCAGTGTACAAGACTGAAAATGGTAATCATGATTTTTGTTCATAAATCTTTGTGGAGGGGGTAGGTTTGAGCATTAGAACTCGGCTTTGAAATCCAAATAACCATTTGGTGACAGCAAAGCGATGCAGAAAATTCTAACCTAATTTTTGCAGCCCAGATCTGGCAGCCTAAGTTGAGGTGACTATATTTAGGGCTGGATATTCCCTATGTCACAGGCAACTCCTTGTCACGTGAAACAGGTTTACCATGCTAAGTTGCTGTGCAGTCTTCTCCTACCTTGGCACAAAACCCAAGGATCAGTTATTGGAGAGCTGGTCCTAAAATTAGTTGCATTGAAGTGGATGTTTCAGAGGGGTGGCCTTGGGCAGATAGCAAACCGAGCTTGGTGTCCTGCTGTACTCCCAGAGCAGTCCCTTCATTGCAGCTAAGGCACACAACTTGGGAAGTAGTTGCTGCAGCCACCTCCACACGCTTCTCTCTGGGGATTCTCCCAGAGCAATGCATACACAGTGGGTGTTTTTGTCTGGCTGATGAGGGAGGGGCAGGGCTGTTGTTGCTGCTGGGATGGGAAAATCCATGGGACAGCATGTGTACCCTGCAACTCAAGTGGCAGATTCTCCTAGGCCCCAAGCTCTTTTGGAGCTCCTGTGTAGCTCCTGTGTTCTTCTTCTTTTAAACAGTTTCCATATAGACAGGTGTCTCATATCACTTCATATGAGTGCTTCGCTTTTTCAGGAATGAATAAAGAAGTACTAGCTTCAATTACAGAGTTGGTCCTCCTATATACAAGAAGGTTGGGAACTGCATGATGTTGGAGAAGCTGGCAGTCATATCAGTTTGCCAACATATTCCCCTGTGTTAGCCCTGCAAGATGGCCAGATAAGAAACATAGCCAGGAGTACTAGCTCTATCTTTATTGTAAGCTTACATTAACAGAATCTTGCATGACTGAAAGTATTTCTTCCCTCTTTTACTGTCCGGAATGCGAGGGAGTATCCCATCTGAAATGTTTCCCATGCCCTCCCTCTTTCAGTGGGCTGAGATACCTTTTACACGCTGATTGCTCAGTCTGCGGCTCTCCCCCCTGTCTCCCAAGGTCATTCCCACATACCATTATACCCTGCTACTGTCACCAACCCTTCTGCTTAGAACTCATATAATGGAAGAGCTCAGTCCTCATTTTGGGATTAGGAAGAGCTGACAAAGACTTTAGCCCCATCTAGTCCTAGTGCTGCCAAGCTTAGAGTAATTCATACTGCTTCATACAGTTGAACAAGTGATGTTCCTTTCTAACCTCCCTTGATATTTGATATTCCCAAATTTACACACATGCTTTTGCCCTTTATAGCCTTGTGTCGGATTCTTGCATTGCTTTAATGTAGTATTTCTCAACCTTGGCAACTCTAAGACGAGTGGACGTCAACTCCCAGAATTCCCCAGCCAGCATGGCTGGCTGGGGAATTCTG